TCACCTTTATCTGTCTAATGTGATGCACCCATGTAAGCTTTGAGTTAATAATTAGACCCAAATACTTTACCTGTTGGACGAAATGCAGTGGGTTTGCTCCTAAATAGAGGGAAATATGGAACTTTCCTCGTTTGTGGAAATGCATAGCCATGGTCTTGCTTGGAGAAAATTTGAAGCCATGGTATGTTGCCCATTGCACAACCTGATTTATTGCAGTCTGCATGTGTCCTTGCACATCCTGTAAGCTTCCTCCTGAGCAGTACAGTGTAAAGCCATCCACATACAGACTACATGAGACAGCACTTAGAACGACCTTTACGATGTTATTTATAGCAATGGCAAACAGGGTCACGTTTAAGATGCTCCCAACCTCACTTCCTGTTAGCAAGGAAGCTTTGAAACAATGTCATACAGCTTCATGAGTGTGCCATGCTTCCAAGTAGTATCATAAGCCTTTTCAAGCATCCTTGCCAGGTTTAGGGACAGGAATGACTATAGCTTCTTTCCATGTGCATGGCACTGTGCCCTCCCTATAGATTGTATTGAATAGATCCAACAGGAAGTGAGATATCATTTGGTATGGAATATCATCACTTCCTGGGGCAGTCTTATGGCAGAGTCCATCTCCTTGCGCAATAATGGCAAGTTGTATGGAAGTTCTGTTGCAGTGCTACTGGAGAACGACACTGGGTGTCGTTCCTGTTCAGCCCAAAGAGTGGAAAATCGGGCAGTGTAAGATGTTCCAGAGAAGATCTCTGCCATGGATTTTGCCAGTTCATTTGCAACATCTGTTTTGTCTGTGAGGATTATGCCATCTATTTTCAGAGCAGGTGGTGATATGGATGTGCTCTTTCCAGCGATCTTTTGCACCTTGTCCCATACCCATGCTAAAGGGGTCCTAAAGTTAATCAAGGAAACATACTGCCTCCACGATGTCCGTCTAGCCTCCTTTAGCACTTGTCTGGCCTTGGCTCCGGTCTTTTTGTAGTGGATCAAGGTTACATCGCTTGGCGCCATTTCAACTGCCTTAATGAAGCTTTTCTAGCTTTGACAGCTTGTTGGCATTCATCAGACCACCCAATATGGTACCTGAGACCGATGGTACTGCCTGCTACTTCTGGGAATTGATGCTTCTGCTGCAAGGTGAATTCGTGATGTGAAGTGATTGACAGCATCTTGAACACACTGGAAATCATTCACAGATCCTTGCAATACTGCAGTTGATCTAAAAAGATTCCAGTCTGCATGTTCAAGTCGCCACCTCTGCACTCCACTGGCTTGAATACCATTCACCTCTTCCAAAAGTATTGGAAAGTGGTCACTTCCATGACCTGCCAAGTGAAATTCAACTGTGAATCAGGTGAACCAACTGACAGGTCAATATTGGAGAATGTCCCAGTTTGAATTTGGAAATTTGTGGGTGTGTCACTGTTCAGTAAAACTACATCTACTCTTGAGAACAAGGACTCCAAGGCCCTTCCTCGAGGGTTGCTTAAATCATCTATGTTGAGATTATGTGGAGGGAGGTGGATGGATGCAACAGTGTAAGGTTGTGTCAAGCCTATTCTCACAGCCTTCACCTGCAGTGTCGTCTACAGGTGGATGGCCTGGATGGGAACATCTTGATGTACCATCACTGCTACTCCTCCATGAGGTCCATTATCGAAGGTTCCATAATGGGCTTGCACTTGGAATTGAAATTGGACGATTTTCCCTGGTCATAAGCTCTTGTAGGCATACACAAACTGGATTACATGAAGCTATCAGATGTTGCAGTTCTTCCCATTTTGCATGGATTCCTTGATAGTTCCACTGGATTAGGGTATCCATTTCTCCAGGGTGAGAAACTACTTCATTAGGTGTTTAGCATATTCACTATTTTTCTTGCTGCAGTTCTAAAAAGCTTGCCAGAAGAACTTGGTGATCTCCACATTCCAGAACCAGAAGCGATGGAGACCTTTTCAACCTCAGGCACCTGAAAGCAAAAAGCAAGACAAAGGAACAACTGATTCAAGAGCTGCTCTTTGCAGATGGTTCGGCGTTTGTAACTCACAGTCTTCAGGCAATGCAAGATCTACTGACAGCCTTTGCAGAAACATCAAAGAGATTCGGACTAACAATCAATATCAAGAAAACTGAAGTCCTAATCCAAGACACCCGAAACACAAAACTGAATCCTCGAGCAGTGCTTCTGAATGGTACCCCACTGGCAGAGGTAGACAAGTTCACTTACCTGGGTAGTACCATCTCCAACAACGGGAGTATAGATGCGGAAATATCAAAAAGAATCCTATCCGCAGCATCAGCTTTTGGAAAATTGAGAGGCCGTCTGTGGGACCAGAGAGGAATCCATCTGAAAACCAAGATGAAAGTCTATAGAGCCATCGTAATATCAACACTTCTGTATAGCTCTGAAACTTGGACCTTATACAGACGCCACATTAAGAGACTTGATAAAGTACAGCAGAGACATCTCTGCCAACTAATGAATATCTCGTAGAAAGACCATGTGTCAAACTTTGAAGTACTGGAAAGGGCAGAAATGCCAAGTGTTGAAGAAATGGTCACCACATGCCAAGTAAGGTGGGCGGGGCATGTCACACGCATGGAAGACAGCAGACTACCTAAAGCTGTTTTCTATGGAGAACTGAAGGAAGGCTCAAGAAAAGTTGGAGCACCACGTCTGCGCTACAAAGATGTGTTCAAGAGACATCTGAAAAATACCAATGTATTTGATAACTGGAGGGAAAAAGCTGAAGACTGTGTGAACTGGAGAAAGGTGGTGGCCGGCGCTATCTGGGAAAGAAATATACAGTTTTGGACTGACCAGAGTCTACGCAAACTGAAACCAGCACCTCCACCTGCTGAGGCGGCCTACAAGTGTGTCACTTTTAACAGGACTTTCAAGGCAGCAATTGGGCTGTCTTCACACATACGACACAAGCATTAACCCCTCACCATGTCATCGTCGTTATCGACGGACTGCTCAAGAAGAAGGTGTTTAGCAGCACCTGTGGTTAAGGCCCACCCCACACCATTAGGCTGTCCCTTCCAGTATCTTCGGAATGCTTTTTCATAGGTTGTTTACCTGTGGAACTAGTTTCCACAGGCTTCCTTTGGACAGGCTCAGGATTTCTTTGTTTGGGCAAAGGACGGACCTGAGCCTTCGGTCCAGGAGCATTCTGTCTAGCAGCATAGGCCCCTGTGGATGGGCATACCTGAGCCTTTACTTCAGGGGCATTCTGCCTAGCAGTAGAGGCCCCTATGGATGTGGTGGCAGCTGAAGTTGTCACCATTGAGGTCTCTGGAGCCTTAACTGATGGCTCCAAAGACCTTACTTTGGGAGGAGTCTCCTCAACAGACCCTTCACTCCTACTACATTTCTGGTTGAACAACTCACCAACTCATCATTTGCGGACTGATTTTTAAAGGTAGTGGCAGAGTGTGTGGTGTTAGAAGTACTGGAAGGTAAGGGATGGCGGGAAGGAGGATGGGCTAGAACCGAAGCAAACAGCACACAGGCACGTCGCTTAGCTTCTATAAAACTAACTTTCTCATTGCTCCTTATTACCAAATTTCTTTTCCAAACGTGTATCTTTTACATTGCTTAGAAGAAGCTTCATGTTCTTTGCAGTGGTAGCAGCATACTGGACCTGGACAGTTGTCATTTTGACCTGTTGTACCACACTTCACACACACTCTTGGTTGTCCATTTTCCTTAAAACGGCAAGAGTTGGCTCCATGCCCATCACCCTGACAGTGGAAGCACCGCATAGTGTTGGGCACATATGGCTTGACCTTGAGGTAGTACCAAGCCAACTTAACTGGTTCAGGAAGGACTAATGTTTCACAAGTTAAAAGAAGAGCTGGTGTTGACTGTTCTAAACCATCAACTTAAAACGGTTTACAGCCACAACATTAAAAATCTTTAATTCTTCTAACAGTCTCTCCTCAGAATACCTCATCAGGTCTCGGGAAAAGACAATTCCCTTACACTGATTGAGTGTATTGTGAGGAGAACATGAGACTTGAGCCCCAGGAATGTTGCATATCGCACCCAGTCACTTTCGCCTGGTGATGAAATCTCCACTATTAAACTACCACCTCGCTGTGGGGTGATGCGAGGATCATGTTGACATACCTCAACAATCTTCTGATGTACTTCAAAAATATCAAGATCCATGATTGATACACCATCAATGGTCTTCACAACTAGGTATTTACTATATGAGATACTTTCATATTTACCAGGTAAGATTTCCTTAATGGATTGAGGAGGACTTTTCTCCTTACCTGGTTTGGGAGCTCGGGAACCATTATGATTCCCATTCTTGCCCTCTGAAATCTGGTAAGGTTCCAGAGTGACAACATGTGATGTTCCAGAGGGATTGGCCAAGGGATTATGTAGGTCGTCAGGGAGAGAGCTTGTTCTTTGTAAATTTGCAGAATTCATACAAGTTATAAATCTTCATTTCCTCACCAGCCCACCCACCAAGCACTTCAAACCGATTTGAGACTGCCACTGCATACTCCTGAGCCACCTCACTCTTGAGCCTCTCGAGATGGAACACCTGCTGGTGAGATCTCGGGATGCTTAATGTTGCAACAACAAGTCTATGGTCAGTAGCAAAGAACTCAGCACTCCTAAAACTCTACAGTTCTAAAGGATCCTCCAGTGAGTATCCGGAATATGGTTGATTTCTTTAGCTACAACGCCAGTATTGGAGTACCAAGTCCAGCACTGTAGATCTCGTCTCTGGTACCACGAGCCCACAATCCTCAGCTTCAGGTATGAGCTATTGATATTCCTAGTACCAGAGCCATAGGGACTGATGCATAGCTCGTTTCCTTCCCTGTTAGTGCCAGTGACTGCATTAAAGTCCCCCAAGACCATGAGGGTGTCCCTCCAGGGATATTGATCCACTATGGAGTCAAGTTTGGTGTAGAACATCTCTCTTCAAGCCCACTTCCCTCAGTAGGAGCGTAAACTGCCGCTAGAA